AGAGGTGTAAAAATTTAAAAAAAAATAGAGAGCACCAAAAATTTTTCAATAATCAAATCACTGACAAGCTAATAGCAAACACTTCAAATCTAGATAGCATAGTGTTTCCGGAAATCATAAATGGAGGTTCGTCTTCTCACTGTGACTAGATTCCTTGCCTACATTTTGGAGGCCTCATTCTCCCAAATAACTGTATGCACGCATAGTATAAATGCTCCATGAATGTTCAGTGAGAGCTGTATTTTGTGTCATCACTAATGGAGGTTAAATGAAGGTTGCTTCCATGCCATTACGATGATCTGTCTACGATGTTTCTATTTTCAATTTCATTCTTGGGAAAGCGTCTCGTTAATCGAATGTCCGCACGTTTCTATCGGCAAAGTAAGGAAGGAGTCGTTTTCGGGAATTCAATTAGGAGTGTCCCCGCATAGATTGAAGAAATTGAAACTTTCTCTTTTCCTAGCAGAAGCTTCAGGGCAAAAAAAGAGTGAGCTCAAACCGATAGTCGTTGTAAAAAAAAACATTTTTATAAGTCAAGAGAAACAACTTTGGCGTCAATCAATCCCGTCTGAGGGATGAGCCCCCGTGTTCGACTTCCACTCAGAATCGTAGTGGCGTTTCGATTGCGTATGTGGCCTATACTATGACTTGAGGTGGCCATCCGATATACACGACAGTGCTTTAATCCTCCCAGACGAATCTGGTACCAATTAATCAACCCAGGAGGGATGGAAGGCTTGTTGGCCAAGGTGGATATCGATCCGGTATTCGAACCCATGACCATGAGTGTGTTATAGCGCCTTACTTGTCACTACACCACCAAAGCTAGAAGTTGTTAACGTCCGTCCGATCGGGATGTGCCATGCAAAAGCAACTTCCTGCAGAATCTTGGTGCTGATTATGAGTTTATACTAGCTNACATGAGTTTAATGGAAAGCATAGGCGACGTATAGCAATCCTTGTGATTTCTGATTCCGGTTCGCCTCAGTGGAGTATTCAAAATCGTAGGCTCTCCATTATAGAGCCTTCTTAAGAGATAAACGAATATAATCAACTATCAATTATTATTTCACCTTAAACATGCCATTAAGTACAAGTGTCTATCTCAAGTTAAACAGCGAGATCGAGTCGATCAAATTCCTTTTTCAGCTCGATAGACACCAAGAATGACCCTGAACCTTTTAAGGACTTAATCTCTGATACCAATGTTCCCGATACACCCAGTAATATGATGACGATTTTAATAAATCTAACTGACGTGATGCATCATTCCTAAAGACGTTTTCATTCATTTTCAAACCTCTTTCCATGTTACTGAAGTAATTGCGTCTTTCTTGTATACCTCTGAAATATGACCCGTCCGGCTGCGTTTGATGTCGCTCAATAAAATACAAAAAGCCTCATTTCATTTGTTGCGAGAGGCTGCCATTCTCCTTTTCCTGGGAATATGCTATTGGAATTGCGTCAAACAGAAAAACTTCAGGTACGCTATTTATGAAGTGCCTAAGGGAAATGCAATGCTTCACTCATTGAGGTATGATATAGAGAAGAGAGCATTAAATGGCAATCTCACATCATTGGGGGTAGAGGTGGTGGGTGCAAAAAGCGCACTAACACATGCATGGTTCGAGGATCGAATCTCGGATGGCACCGATCAGTCCAACCGAGCTTTCCATTGCTTCGGGTTGAATAATCGGTACTCAAATTCTCTCTGAGGACAAAGGGACTTATTTGTACATCGGCCGGCCCGATTCGATTCCGAAAAATGAGTCAGTATCTCTTCTTGAGTATTTGAGAAGTTCGGAAGTGAAATTGTAA